AAGGAAGGAAGGAAGGAAGGAAGGAAGGAAGGAAGGAAGGAAGGAAGGAAGGAAGGAAGGAAGGAAGGAAATTAATGCCAATTCCAGTAGCTTACAGGAGAACATATTGGTTTCCATACAGTGCTGCAGATAAGGGATCATCTTCATGACCTGTTTTATTTTATTATTCTTATGTTATTTTATTTCTCTAGCTCTCAATGTTGCATCCAAATCTGAAACAACAATAGCTGAAACAACAATAAAATATCAATCAAAAGGGGTTCAATTCATAACATTTACCATGAGAAAGTACTAGTAGTAGAAACCAAGTCCTCCTCAATCATCAAAGCATAAGATTTGGTTTCCCAATTCAGCCTTGGGGGGGGGGGCGGCTTTGGCTCACTGGTTGCTTAGGCTCCTGTGCAGCACTGAGAAGTGATTTGCTTTAATCATGGTTTGTTGAACAAACCATAAACCCTGCTTTGCAATCCACAGTGAGCGGGTTCTCACAACTTACTAAACAAGCAAAGCCCGTTGGTGTTTTGCACGATGTGTGAACACTGCCACATCACTCTTACTTCCTGCCCAGAGAAGAAAAAGGAGGGAATCCTCATACTGAGCCCCTAAAGAAAAACTAGGATATAAAAGAAATGGAGAAAGAAAGAAGGAGTGGAAATAGATCACACGCTAGGATTCCAGGCCTGTATCTTGTTACCTCTATGCACATCCAGATGGATATGGGGAAAGTTAAAATTACAGCAATGTGCATTAGGATAATTAGGATCCATTCACACGGTCCATAGTTTTCCTCGAAGTTCCCTGAAAGAAAGAAAAATGAACAGATAGAAGCAAACACTAATTCTATTGCTTTGCTTTGAAAAATAACTCTATGCCTTCCTAGCAAAATGGGTGTTAGGTTAAAGCGCTCATCCCTGTCCAAAGTCCAGCTCAGAAGCAGACGGGCAGGTCACACAAAGCTGGACTAAGGAGAAGTAGAAGATGAAGAAAATGACCACTAGAAGATCACTGTGATTTGGGGTGGGCTGAGATTCCACCAAACGAAGGAACGGGACCCCCTGCTCCGAAGCAGGCAAGCCCAGTTCAAGAGAAATTCCCTTCCGCTAGAACACAAAATATATCTTTCCCTTTCAACAGGGTGTCAGGGCTTCCTGTCCTGCATGAGCTCTGAAGCTGAAGGAGAAAGAGAAGACCTGAAGGGTGCCACAGGAAGCAGAATGAGATGTCCCTCTTATGCGTTAGAAGTATTCTTATTGAAAAGAAAAATGACGGATTGTAACATAAATCCCTTTTTAGCTCACGCGATGGATGTGCCCACGTGTCCTCCTTCTTTTTTGTACCTTTGAGTCACTGCTGACTGCCTGGACAAGCCCCTGCTGTTTTCCTGGCAAGATTTTGAAAGTGGTTGGCCATTGCCTGCTTCCTGGGGCTGAGAGAAAGGGACTGGCCCAAGGCCACGCAGCTGGTTTGGCACCTAAGGCGGGACTAGAACTCGCGGTCTGCCGGTTTCTAGCCTGGCGCCTTAACCACTGTGCCAAACCGTCTCTCTCTGTTTTCTTTCTCATATCGATGATTCAGTTCCTGCCTACAAATCGCTCACAAGTCTGCAGTTTCTGCACCGAGCCAAGCATTGCTCCATCCCGATTTACTGGAAAGCCACAACCAGCGGAGCGCATGCAACACGCTAAAGCATTAGCCGTGGCTGTGTTTGCCCACATGCTAACCCAACACCCTGACTGCAATTTCCCTTCTCCGTCTTGCTCAGTGCAGTTGAGACACGTTTCCTGTCTTTGTCAGCGATGACCTCCTGTGAATGCCAGTTCGTTTTTAAATATAGAACCACAGTTCACAGAAGCACTTTCAGAGGGTGACAATAGAGGCATAGAATTTGGATTGCAGCCACATTGTTATCTCAGTTACAGTGGCAATGGGGGCACTGGTGGGAAACTTGAAGGGGTAGATCTTCCTGGAAAGGGTCGATCTATGTGGTCGTTAAGAGTTGACCCCGACTTGATGGCGCAGAATCAATCAATCAATCAATCAATCAATCAATCAATCAATCAGCCCAAATTGCTTGATTGACTTGATGGCACAGAATCAATCAATCAATCAATCAGCCCAAACTGTTTGATTGACTTGATGGCGCATAATCAATCAATCAGTCGGCCCAAATTGTTTGATTGACTTGATGGCACAGAATCAATCAATCAATCAATCAATCAGCCCAAACTGTTTGATTGACTTGATGGCGCATAATCAATCAATCAATCAGCCCAAATTGCTTGATTGACTTGATGGCACAGAATCAATCAATCAATCAATCAATCAATCAGCCCAAACTGTTTGATTGACTTGATGGCACACGATCAATCAAGCAATCAAAATTGTCACAGCAATGTCTACCTCTTTTCTCCCCTTACACAACGGGGATCGGTACATCAGTAAAGCGGCTTGCCCGCAGCCACCTCGCGCCTGCATAAATTCACTGCCAAGACAGACACACTCTGTGCGTGCTCAGAGAAACAGCGTCTTCCTAGCGCTTCGCTTTAAAGAGTTAGCCTGTCCTTCAGATCCGACTTCCCATCGCGTCGCCGCGAAGCGGCGGCGCTCTGCACCGGCTCAGGGGCTCGCCGCGCCAATCCGCAGATTGGGACGCTGCGGGTTGGAAGGAAATGCAGAACGCAAAGGGGAGAGTTCCAGCAGGACCGCAACGGGGGGAAAGGCCGATCGGTGGGTCTCACCGTCCCAATTGATGGCGTCTCGGTTGGTCCGGATGCCTCTCTCCACGTCGGCCATGAGACCCACCGCGCTGTTGCCCAGTTTGGCGGCCGGGGTGGGCAGCAACTGAAAAGAGGTCCGCGCGGGACTTCGGACGTTGGCGGTTGTCGCCCCATGGCCCGCGCGGCCCCTTCGCCGCCCCGCATTCCAGCGTCTGCCGCGCTCCGTTCTGTTGGCAAGCCTGCGGGCAGCTCCTCCGGAGCATTCACACGACCCGCCCAGCCACCTCGGGCGGGGCGTGTTTGGGCTTAAGCTGTGCCTCGAGGCTGCGTTTCGTCGATGCGCTCAGACGCGCTTTGTTTAATGAGCTGGGTTATGAACTGAGCCTTAATGGCTGCGTTCCCAGGTTGGACTGATCCACACTTAATTGTTCTTTCCCTGTGGTTCAATTCGTAGTTATCGTAGGGTTGGGAGGGACCTGGGAGGTCTTCCTGCCAACCCCCTGCCCAGTGCAGGAATCCTCATGCCATTCTGGAGAGAAGGCTGTCCGGTCTTTTCTTGATAATTGGCAGAGTGCACCCACATGCTAAATCATAATCAGAGCTTGATATGGGTTTCCCCAGGACGATCTGTAGATGACGGTTTGCAACAAAACCTGACTTAGGTTAGAGCAAAACTGAGTTCTAGTCCCCACTCAGTTCATTAGGAAGCTCAGTAGCCTTAGCCTGTTATGTGAACACAGCCTTTGCAGCAATAGCAACAATATCGTCACCACCACCACCACGTAGTAGACAGTGAGAAATACCATTTGGTACTGTTTCCCCTTTCACTTGCCATGTAATTTCTCTTTTGAGTCAATAAATTATCCATCATTTCTAATGAATTCCCATTTTTCTGTTAGGATTTAAACCCTTCCTTCCTTCCTTCCTTCCTTCCTTCCTTCCTTCCTTCCTTCCTTCCTTCCT